TGTTGTAGTTTGGCTGGGGCTGGGTTCAAACCTGCTACCCTTGGTACATGGGGCCAGTGACCTACTCACTGAGCCACAGGCGCTGCCCAAGACCCCATCTCTTAAAAAAAACTGTCAAATTGTTACCGGTGGTCTGTTTTCTTCTTTCTTCTTTTTCTTATACTTGTAGAGGTAGTTTGTGTGTATATAGGAATGTGTAGGAATGTATATCCTTCTCTTTCTTTTTTTTAAAAATAATGATGTTAGAATATACTGTTCAGAATGCCTTTTTGTTTTTTGGAGACAGGGTCTCATGTTCACCTAGGCTGGAGCATAGTCATAGCTTACCTGTGGAGTGCATAATCATAGCTCACTGCAGCTTCGAACTGTTGGGCTCAAATGGTCCTCTTGACTCAGTCTCTCAAGTAGCTAGGACTATAGACATGTTCCACTATGGCTGGCTAACTTTGTTTTTTGTTTGTTTATTTTATTTATTTGAAAAAAAGATTTATTTGAGGTAGAGTCTCATTCTTATTGCCCTCTCCACTCCCCCGGGGGGAGTTCTATGGCATCATAGCTCATAGCAACTCAGATTTTTGGGCTCAAGCGATCCTCTTATCTCAGCCTCTGGAGTAGTTGGGACTACAGGTGCTCACCATGGAGCATGGCAAATTTTTCTATTTTTTTTTTTTAGTAGAAATGGGGTCTCAGCCTTGCTCAGGCTAGTCTTTTGTTGTTGTTGTTAGTTTTTTTATTATTTATTTATTTATTTATTTTTATAGTGTTTGGCCAGGGCTGGGTTTGAACCCACTACCTCCGGCACATGGAGCCAGCGCCTTACCCTTTTGAGCCACAGGCACCACCCCATCTCAGGCTGGTCTTGAACTTGTGAGCTCAAGTAATCAATCTACCTTGGCCTCTCAGAGTGCTAGGATTATAGGCATTAGCCACTCCACCTGGCCTCTGTTTTATTTCTAAAATGGTAATAGTTTTACATTTAAGTTCATGATCATTTTGCATTAATTTTTGTGTAAAGTATCAGATTTAGGTTGAGGTTCATTTTCTTGCCTGTAATATTCAGTTGCTGCAAACACTTTTCAAAGACCAGTATTTCTTTCTATTCATTCATTTGTTTGTTTAAGACAGAGTCTCATTCTTTTCCTTAGGTAGAGTGCCTTGGCATCATTGTAGCTCACATCAAAGTCCAACTCTTGGGCTCAAAAGAGATCCTCCTCCTGCCTTAGCCTCCTAAGTAGCTGGGACCAGAGGTACCTATCACTATGCCAAGCTAGTTTTTCTATTTTTAGTACAGATGGAGTTTTGCTTTTGCTCAGGTTGGTCTCAAATTCCTCAGCTCAAGTAATCCCCACCCCCACTTCAGCCTCTCAGAGTGCTACTATTACAGGCATGAGCCACTATGCCTGGACAAAGATCAGTATTTTTTTTTTTTTTTTTGAGACGAGCCTCAAGTTATCCCCCTAGGTAGAGTGCTGTTGCATCACAGCTCATAGCAACCTCTAACTCCTGGGCTCAGGCTTTTCTCCTGCCTCTGACTCCCAAG